GAACTTCAGGCTGCTAATCTCTCTGCAGATCACACTTTTGTTTTTTTTATTCAGGTAGCTGACAATAGATATAATTCTGTTTTTAGTGCTTATCTCTTGTCAGTTTTTACACTTTTATTCAAAGTCTTTGATTCTTAGATTCTTGTGGCAGGTTATAATAAACTTGATATGCAATGCAGCAACTGACAATTTGATGACAGCCAGATTATGACACTGTCCTGCAGTCAATTCACTTACACACATTACCATCCATCCCACCCAGCTGCAGACCTGGCAAAGTGAAAGTATCTTGGCAGATGGTGTTCAGCAGGGACATCTTGTTAAGGTGAAGCAGGCAAATCTCACCCATCTGTTTGCATATGGTGCAACTCGCCCAGCTACATCCAAATCTGGAGGATTAATGCAGTAAGCCAGGTATGCAAGGACAAAGTAGGAAGAGGAAGTACAGTACATAGAGCAGTATCCAATTGTAAAAAAAAAAAAAAAAACTTCTAAAAAGTGTGCGAATGAGTTTACTGTTCCGGGAAGGTCAGAGATGTTACTAAAATGAAGATTAAAGATTAACTTTAAAACAGAATATCTTTTTTTCATGCATTTTGGATTAAAGCCTGTTACATAATTTTGGTGGTTTCAGTTGATTTCTCAGTCAGTCTTTGAATTGTACACACAACTTTTTTTTTCATCCAAAGTTCTGGGAAACTTTGATTCAGATGTCTGTGCTGTCCAGAGCACCTTGCTGAGGCTCGAGGTTCTGACAACTGTTCAAGCCTGTGAAGCTCAGGAAAAAAGGGAGCAAGCTAAATAAAATTTTCTGCAAGAAAAAAATAAACAGTCTGACGGCTGCAGAAGGCTTGCCAACTTTCAGGCTTTAGTGTGAGACACTTGCTTTCATTCGCATTGTTCAAACTAATCTCGCAGCAGTTGAAGAAGACTTCAAAGACCCTCTGTTGAGAAATAAAAGGCGAGGAGAAAGGTTGTCTCCAGGGTCCACAGTGAGGCAATAAATTAAGATTTTGTTTTCCTTTGAGATGGGCGTCCTGAAAAATAGATAAATTGTGTCACACCTACAAAAAAGTTATTTCAATACAGAGAATTTATCCTACTGAAATTACATCCTCTGCAGTCCCTGTAACTGGAGTCTTCAAATCTAGTTATTTTTAGTATTTTAACGCTTTACATAATTTCTATTTAATTGTCTTCAAATGTTTTTGGGAGGGAAAGGACAATATAGAATTTCTCATGGGATTACTAAAATAATGTTCACATTATACAGTTCTTTGGTAGACGACAACAAGCAGTGATTAAAAAAAAAAAAAGAAAAAGATCTTGCAAATTGAGCCCACATGGATCTGCTTCACTCTTTGGATTCGACTGACAAAGGCAATCAGAAAAACAACAAATATTGGGCATTGAGTTTAGTCAGGTACTCCAATTCTTATCATTTAAAAATGTCTCAATAGGGATCATGATCAGATGAGCTATTTAATCTAGCAGATTAACATCCAGCCTTTATGGAAGATGATGTTTCTCCAGCCCCCCATCAAAATCCTGATTAATCTTTTTCAAATCAAGCAGAGAACGTAATTATAAAATCAGCTTCAAATCCACATATTGTTAAAACGATCATGTTCAGCTTTTAGTGCACATCCAGTGAAGCACAAATGAGTGGAAAACAAATTTTCAGGTGATATTGATATAAACCTCCCACTGAATTATACTGATTATCAAATCAAATTCAAGCAACAAAGGTGTGCAGCTGCCCATAATTATTATAATCAAACATAAATTATCTGATCACCCAGGCTCTTCTCTTCAACATCATTACTTACAACTGAGACCTTTTCATAGTAAAAGAAGAAATTTGCATAAATTAATTTCCCAGATGTCTTTATTTAACATTTGTATTCTAATCAAGAACAAACGATTTGCCCTGGGATGGATATATTTTACACTTTTCATACAATCGTTTATATATATTTCAACAAAAAATAGGTGTAAACATTTTCACATTGCATTTGTAACTCCACTGACAACAATGATAATAATTTATTAAATGCAAAGTGATATAATTTGAAACTCTATTTAGATAAATATTTTCTTATATAAACAGACATAAATGTACAACACATCACATTCGCCCTTGATTGTGTCTTTGAAATTGGGGAAGAAGGTCTGCATAACATTTCATGTGTTATGTTGTCGTAATACATGTGCAAAGATAAAATCTCCCAACAGCAAGTTCTTTCTCATCCGATTGTTTTGTTTCCCCAAATGTGACTTTTCACGTTTCTGCTTCAGTTTGGTAGTTATTCTTTTTCAAAAAACAGCAATCATCTCGGATTTGTCACAAGTCTAAAGAGGTGCTTAGAGTACATACACAGTGAAAAATAGACAACTCTTTAGTTTTTCAAAATATGCTGATTCAGAATCTCACAGTCAGAAAAGAACGAGGGGAATCAGGTTTATCTCGTTCTCGTACTCCCATCATTCCAGATAAGATTCAACATTAAGAAGAACATGCCTAACAAAAGTATTGATTTGATGCTTTGAGGGGAACAGCTGAATTCATAATGCAGGGAGCAACGACTGCTGCACAGAGCCTGAGGCTCTCCATGAACACTGCTAAATCAGCACTGATTTAATTAAGCTTCTGTGCAGTAAACAACTCATCCATGCAAGTGTAATGTAATATTTTCACTTTTGCTACCTGGATTTCCTAACAATGAAAGCTCTTTGAATTAAAATTCAGCTACAGATAATGTATGTTTTAAATCTCCCATTGTTATTCAATGGCACAGAGGCATATTTCTCATATGGATATTGTCACTCTATGGACTTAGTGCAAGGAACATTATGGAACACTGCTTTCCAAATGTCTTCAAACATCCCTTCCAGATTTTGTCATGCTACAATTAAAACCTCAATGTATTTTTGCAGAAGATTTTATGTCTTTGACCCACACAAAAATAAAATTAACCAAATAAAAGTGTAAAAGTTGTGGCATGCATTAGTATTCAGCACTTTGCATTTCGACACCTCTACAAATATGCAATGCAATCAAAATGCTTTCAAAAGCTATGTCATTAATAAAACACATATTTATCTTAATTGCTTTAATAAATATTTATGGCTTTTCTGTGAAGGTTTTGCAGGAAAAGTGTGCAAAGCTGCATATTTGGTGTCAATCTGATACCAAGTAAAAACAGGGCCTGTATCATAGACAGCACTATTGATACCAATATATATCATCATTTAATTTTGTTAATTCATCAAGCATCTGACCATTAGGTGTTTTTGTGGTTTTTCCTTTTGAATTCTTTTGTTGAAACCTAGGCACTAATTTTAACAAAGTTGATTCAAAATATGTTGAAAACATATCAACACAATAAGCAGAAATAGAAAAACAACACAGAACAAGTTTTTTTTGTTTTACCCCTGTATAAATAAAGTGCAAAAAAAATATTATTTGAGAGAAAATATGTATATATATATTTTTTTCTTGGTAAAGCTTAGAAACTAAAATACAAAAATAAAATACATTTCAAGGGGGAATTTGAAACTAAAGTATCAATTTTACCCCACGAGTATTGATCTGAAGCTGATACCAACTTGGTATCAATATTATGGATTCATCCACCCACCTCTATCTCACAGTTTCATTTATCAACAAATGCAATGCATTGCTCCACCATGGCCTTCATGGAAGAGTAGCAAAAAGAAAGATGCTCTTAAAAGAAAGCTCTAAACGTTGTGTGTAAATTGTTTCTCCAATATAAACAGTCTGACAGACTGTCATATAAAACACAAGCAATCATGAAGGAGGTACTTTGGTTGGTGGCGTAGTGAGGATGCTTTTCTACAACCAGGACAGGGGAGCTGGTCATTGTTGGTGTGAAGATAGAAATAATTACACCCAAGCATAAATATGTATATGTTTTAAGGGCCCAAACAAAGTCCATACCAAATCAGAATCTGTGGCAAAACTAAAACAAAATTGATGGTAGCAAAGGGTCATCTTTAGATGAGAAAGCTGACAGAGAAATTTCTTAAAAGCACAGAGTTGTAATTGATAACTTTTCTCTAAAACTCTGTAAATGGGGCATTCGTTTACAAAGTTATAGACAAGTAATGGGCAGAGAGAGAGAATGGCAAAGACATGAAGGAAAACTTCTGTTGTCCTTAATCAAACCTCAGACGGGCTGACAGCCTCGGTATTCAAGGGAACTGCTGTTCTACTACACCACAGTGAGGCCCTAAAATGGATATAATTCTAGAAAAAACTCAGTGGGACGAAATTAAAATGCAAGCCACACATCATCATGTTCCTATTAATTCAGAATAAGACACTGTTTAGTGTTTGTATGTCACTTAAAATCCCAATAAAAGACAATGACATCTGTGGCATCGCCTGGGTTATTTAGAAGTGTTTCTATCTCAACAGAGTACATCTACACTGCAACATGTGGACACCTGATGTGGAACAATGGGTTGGGCGTACCAAAACCTTTGGAACTGACCAATTACGAAATATTTGTGTAAGACTTGTGCGACAGAGAGCCTTATACAAATATGCCATTTGGCTCCATTTATGGAGGCATCGTCTTAGCAGTCTCATGGAAATTTTAGACAAGCTTAAGTAAAACAGATCCAGCTGCAGAGAACGAACCCACTAATCCGACAGCTTACACGCGCCCCAATCTGGTAATGACAGACATTTATGGAAACACTTTGAATGTGACTCTGCTAAACTACATAAAAAAAAAAAAAACCTTCATCCCCATTTCAAGACACTGGAAGAGACATTTTCCTTCTCATTTATATAATTTGGCTGATATTCATGAGTGGTATTTTATCTATAGTTGGCGTCTTTACAAACACATATATACACACATATACACACATGCAGGCCTATACAGTATGTACACTATATTATCTTTATGAGTAAAGCCAGTGTAAATGACCCAGGAGGGAATGGCTCACGATACAGAGTAAAAACAAAGGGAGTTGTAGCATTTAATATTGAAGAAGAAAAAAAACAGTAGAAAAGAGACATCACAAGCAGATTTTCACAGTTGTATTTCCTGGTTTCAGTGTCCATCTCTGCCCACAAAATGCAGGGCCAAACAAACCCCCTCAGCTCATGGCTTGAAGCCGAGTCTCTGATATGTATATTCTTCTCATGTGCATCTGCATATTTGTAGAAAAATCTAAGCGTTGAAAAGAGCATTTTGGCTTTGACGGAGAATCTGAAAGTGATCGTAACCTTTGGTTGCTGCAGACTTAGCTTTAAATGCCTTCACTGATCCTCAAGTCTTAACAATCGTTTCCTTCTTTTGTAATGTCCCAGCAACAAACAAACCACCATCGGTGTGAAAACATCACAGAAGTACAATCATTTCGGGGGGTTTTTGTTTGTTTTTTTTTCCGAAAATGATAACCATACCAAGCCACGCTTTGATTTATTTTTTTTTTATCCACTTCATTCTGAAGGTTACAGAACAAGATAAAGTAATGAGATGCCACCCTGTACATGTGGGAGTTGATCAATATACACTGTAAAGTAAAAGCTGTAGATGAAAGGACTTTCAGCAGCATCTTTATACAAGCCTCAGAAAAACTTCACTTTGCAAATGGTGTTTCTTTTTTCTTCTTTTTTTATGACCACAAGGTTTTCACATGAAGCTACACGTGTCAGTTGAAATAAACTCAGGCTACAGACAGCCCGAGGCGTCGTTCATTTCATCTCACAGCTCAGTGTTAAAGGATTCACACTCAAGCCCATAAGTCTCTGCTGATGGTACAACACTCATAGAATAAACTCGTTTGGTTTAAAGACCACAGATGCTCAGTCTTCTGTCATAGTTCCTTTTAACACAACAGTCACAACATTATGAATAAGTATATTGACTTTAGTTAAGGGGTTAGGAAGCAAAAACTTGCCACAGGGTTTGAAGTAGGCATTCATACAAAACACGGTACAGTTGTTCCTAATGTAAATACTTGCTGTAAATAGTGTTGCTCCAAGTCTACTTTTGGATGTAGCAATAATTTATGTTAGGGTAGGTCGATGTTATGCTGCTAAGGATTATGTCTGTGGACATGTTTCACTGAAACCACTACAATCATCAACTATATGTACTGATAGAAAAAAATAATAGGCTTTACTTTGAATTAGATTCACTGGAACATTGTTAAAAATATATACTCATAAAATATAACAAAAAACACTTTCATAGTGACAGCACAGCTGTTTATTTTGTGTTAAGACACACTATGACAATTTTTGAAAGTTGTCATAGAAGCATTAGTCTATGTCCTCCACTTTGAAAGTAAAGAGGTAGAAATGAACATTTTGAGTTACCAGAAATGTGTACACGTAGTTACATTTCAGTGTCCAACTAAATGGACAAACACCTGCAGAAAGATGAATTTCATGTATTGTTTTTCCCGGTCTCTGATGTTCCTATTGACCGTATATCAGTCACAACCCATGTTACTCAGAAACAAATAAACCAAAACGTCAAAAAAGTAAGTGGATTTAAATGAAGAATTACTTATCTTCTTTTAATTGTTAGAAAAGTGCATCCTGACGAGATCCGTTTTTATTTTTATTTTTTTTGTTTTTTTTTAATGGTAAAACCAGCAACATGCATTATTGTGATGCAACTGATTTTTCAAAATCAACTGTCTCCAAAACTTTAAGGTTCAGGGAAACATGCCTATGTCTAAACTGCTTGATTCATTTGTTTCACAAGATTTTCAAATTTAATTCAAATGAGAGGTATTGTATATTTTTCAGAAATGTAGAGTCACTTTATGGCACAATCAGTTACATTCAATTGTTATAAAAATTCTGACTATTTTAAAAATAATTTGAGAACAACTTAAGAAATTTGACTTCATGTCAAAGCCGATCCTGACATCTTGAAATGTGCCTCTGTTCATACAAAGAATGCTTCCTCATGCCGTTTAGTCATGATGTTTACAGCCATACTTGACCCGTTTAGTTCCAACTTTTTTTCTGCAAAATAAGTGCATGCATTTCTGAATTATTACATGATATTTATGAATTATTCCATTTTATGTTGGTTATGTTAGTGAAAATGTTGGTTTCTACTTGCCAATAACTGCATAGTCTAAATTACACAAATATGTCCAATTTGTACACAGAAAAAAATAAGAAGGATTATGACATGCATAGTCTATGACAAAGAATGGTTACAAGAAATATTTTAGACATAGAAAAATTCAATCTCACAGCCTGCAGATGTCATAGTCTCAATGTGCCAAGCAACCTTTGACCTCTGGCCATTTCATGACTGGTCATTTGCTCAATGAGGCAAGGTCAGGTGAAAATGTTTGTATAAACAAATCTGCATCTGGGAGGAAAATGTCCCTGTTCCACCAAGCACTACACCCTGGTCTTGTCCTAAACTAGTTTCAGGCGTGGCATCATCTTGTTGTGGTCATTCAGTGCATAGGCCATATGCACTGAATGGAAGTGGGAAGGGTTTCAACTGTAGGAATGACATTGATGTAAAGACATAATTTTGAGTTTCCTTCAGGTCTAGAAGATCTAAAATATCTGATAGTTTTAATCTGTGTGGGAAGAGCAAAGAAATGGTCATCTAGCCTAGTGCTGTCTCTGTATTAGAGACTTAGACTTAGACTTCACTTTATTGATCAATTAATTATACTAGATTTGTGACGGACATTTACCTCCAGCGTTACAAGCAGGAAGTAAAGCGGTCTGGTCATGTGACCTTTCACACTTGCTACATGAAACTGATATCGCTTAGAGTAGACACATTACTATTTTATTTTAAAACTTCAATTAGCTGCCAAAAGTCAAAATAATTACTTTGAGGTTCCAGAAATTAGAAAAAATGTCTGGCAGCAATTGTTGCCGGTGGGATTAAACGGGTTATGAACATAGTAGTTTGTGTGATTAGCTCAGCAGACTCACAGTTCCACCAGGTGCTTGCTATTCGCTGCCGTCGCTAGTCAGCTGGGGAATGAAGCTCCAGGGTGGAGTTTTGGGGAAAGAGGCAGCGCATTGCATGAGCAGGCGTTAAGGCTCCACCAAATGGCTGCCACTCGAGATTCAAGGTTTTCTCAGACATGCATAAATGAGTTAAAGCAACAGTCTGGTTATGTGTTTGATGAGGGAATGACATTGTAACATCACATAAAGCTCTAAACAGTTGATTTTAGTACACTCCATTTAAGCCAAACATTAACCGGGACATTTTAACAAACTTGATTTTGTTCTCTTAACCCAATTATTGTGTCTTGATGTTTTTGGAATCATTGTCTTATTTGCATATCTAGTATTTAAAACCAGATTATTCAATCACATCAAGTGATAAAATTTAAATAATCCAAGGAAATGATGCTCCCATCAAGTTTCACTGGCAAACTTTACCTTTTTTATGCTGTTTTATATGTTTTCTCCATCCAACATGGTGATAAAAATAATTGCATTCAAAGACTTACATTTTTTTTCTCAACCAACCAGACTAGATTAACCCACTGTTTCACAGTTTGTGTACAAAGTTTAGAGCAAATCCTTAACAGCTTTAAAAAAAAAACACTTTTTATTGAGTCTTGTGCAATAACTGTGCAAAGAAATCTTTGTGATTTAGTGAATTACTTAAAGAGAAGAACTGTACTTGCTAATTCCAGGTCTCACTGAAGCTCTTCATGATTGGCCTTAAGCACTTGATTATTTTGAAGTCTTCTGATTATTTCTTTTGACTCCATTGTCAGAAATCTGGTGAGGAACACTTGGTTAAGGTTGGTTTATGTTAAAGTTTTATTGTTTCCTCTTCAGTGTCATAGACTCTGGTCACTGGCTAATTTCTAAGTTTAATAACAACTCTAAGCAATCATACAGAGCCATTTGCATGGGTCTTCACCTCAGTAATGAAAATCCTTCTTATACACCATCAATGTGGACTAAACCAGGTGAGTTAATTTGCATTGATAGGAAACGGGATTGCAAATACTAATAGAGCAGTTTACTTGGATTCTTAGGATTTTTTTCCTACTCTGTTTCTGTGGGTTGAACATGCTCTCCACTTTATTTTTCAAAAAGTGATTTAGGAACAGATTTGTTGTATGTTCTTTGTATGTTTTGAGTATGTGCTAATGCTATGTGTAGTCGTAGCCTTAACTATTAAAAGGCAGTAATCCTTCAATCACAGGCCTCTTGCAAACTCATGGCCAAGTGTAAAAACTATAAAAATAAAAATATAAAAAAGCAAGAGGGCGGTGTATTTTTATTGCTGATTTTTTATTTTTTATTTTATTTTATTGTTGAATTTGTTAAATTTCACTTTTTTTTCTGAGTCATTAGGGAGTTGAGATCATTTCACGAGATTATCTGCAACTGATTGTTAGATCACCTCATGTGATCACTTTGTATCACATGATATAAAGTCAAATATGAGCTGCGTTTGTTGTCAGGTAATTTGTGAAAATTAGGAAGAACCGGAGCCTTCCCCACATAATGAGTAAAGATATCACAGAAGCTACGACAGTCAACAAAAACACACTCAAGCAGATCTAATACATCTTGTACATTGCATGTCTTTTTTGACTTCAGTTGATGACCTTTGCTGCCGGAAGAAAAGAACAAAACTGTCTGTTAGGCAAACTGAGCTCAGCTATGCTCCATGAGCACTTTCATTTGGATAATGTCGGTATCTGCTGAGGCACAGCCTTTTATGTTTCATGTTATCAACTTTTTTATATTTGGCAAGACAAGCAATGAAGACAATATATCCATTTTCATGCACAAGCATAAACATTTTTTTCCTGTTTTGTATAAATTAAAAAAATCAGCACCCTCTTTAATTGGAAAAATAACTGAAATATTTTTTTTTTCTCAAAGTATGTTTGTTTTTATTCTCAGACAAATCAGGAAAACCTGTTCTAGCTCATTTAGAGTTGCTAAAATGATTTTAAGTTGCTAACTGACTAATGACAGAGTTAATTGGAGGGTTCAACTGTAATTTTATTTTGAGGTAGCATCTCAAACCAAAAACTTCATTCACTTCATGAATAAGGACGAATTCAAAAGAAGTAATGCAAGCAAAATATCAAGAAGAGAACTATGGATCTTCACAAGCCTGGTTCATCTTGGGTACAATGTTCAGATGCTTGAATGTGCCAACTCTCAAGATAACAACACACAAGCAGCATGAGGATGATGTCCAGTCATCTCACAGATTATGAAGAAAACTAGTCTCTCAGTTGTAAATTACTAAATTGTACATTGTAATCCTTGTAATCACCATTCTAAAGTATTTTAGGTGTGCTTTTGTTTCTCCTGAGCTTGTCTCTACCATTGACCCAGTCTGATCAACTATATAACTTCTTTTGTCATTGGAATCTCTCAGTTGGTAAGGTGCTAATATGTAAGTAATAATAACAATAATAATAATAATAATAATGATGCATTTATAAATTAAGCACAAGCCTTTTAGTTTAATTACTTTTGTGATTTCTTTTGTTTTTTTTTTTAGAATGAGACAACTGATTAGATAATCCATTCATTGTACATTTTGTCTGGCTCTGGTGCTAGAGGATCTAATTTTATATCACAAATTATATGTCAAAAATAAAAATAAAAAAGACGTAAGCTGTAAAATGAAAATAAATATTTCCACGAAACAAATAAATTATTCCTGTCTTGGTCCAAAGGAGCTGTTAAACCAACCATCCAAACATTTATAACAAATATAACACTGCAGAGTAACTAATGCTACTCTGTTACTAGGATATTAATTTTTATGAGGGTAATAAAAAGCTTTGTGAGCTTGAATTGTTCTTTATTTATTTGATGAACCTACTTATAAAAGGTGAACCTCAACTTTGACAAATTGTTGGCAAATTAATTGAGACTTTGAAAATGTTGTTCTCCAATAGCAATCAGGGCACAATGTTTACTTACTTTAGATAAGAGCAGCAACCCTGTTGTCCTTCAGTTTGAGGCATGCATTAATAAATACAAATATCCCATAATGTACAGTACTTGTAAAAACACATAAAGGGTTGATGAGGAAGTAGTCAGTTTCAGTATCAGTTCCTTCCTCTAAATCCAGCGTAAATTGATTTTGTATTTTGACTCTTCAGTCTTGTTTCCTCGATGTTGATTGTTCAGAGCAATAAAATAGTTGATGCTTGTAACTTTGACCTGACAACTTTATTATCTGAACTGGTCGGCTTGCTTATTTTACTGTATTTGTATTTAATTGCATGATTAAATCTTGATTTCTATTTTGTTTTCTTTTTTTCTATTGGCAGTATTAAATATTTGAGGCATAGAACAAGCTTTAAACTCAAGAATAATACTGAATGATAGTCTTTTTCATCAGTGAGTAAGTCTTGAGCCTTTGACTATTCCTGAAATTGCAATGAGCCGTTTTTTTTTATTTTTAATCCAACTTCTCGCAGTTTTTTGTTGCTGGTTTCTTTTGGCAGCTTTTGTTTCTGAGGCGCCGTTTTTCTCTCTTTAAAGAAAGTCACTCTGCAGCTCATTGGAGAGCTGACTGACAGCGACCTCGGTTTGCACAGATCCTTTCAGTATTCTGGCAGTCTGTTGAGGACTGTAATCTGTGAAATTTTCCTTGGCACCGGAGACCGTTTCAGTGCAAGGACAATGTCTGCAAGTCCGGTGGTTCTCTGGCAGTCCGTTAGACAACCTTGTAGAGTTGCACTCGTCAATGTGATGAGATTGCCTGCAAGTTCCCTTCTGTGCGGAGCTGTGTTGACACAAACATCTGCAGAATGTGCTTCTGCAGTGAGCTACATCCCGACACAGAGACTTGCGGAAATTGGGTTTGAAGACCAGATAGACAATGGGATTGTAAAGAGTGGAGGACTTGGCAAAAATGGCTGCCAAAGCAAAAGCCATTGGTGGTACATCTGTTGCGTTCCCAAAGGCTGCCCACATGGAAACAATCGCATATGGACTCCAAGCTGTGAGGAAACCAATGCAAACTGCCACGGAAAGCTGAAAAGTAAACACGATGATACTTAAAAGACATTCCTCATGAAAAAAAAAAAAGATGATTAAGACAAAATAAGTATTTCTAAAAAAAAAAAGTAAGCTTATGGAGTTACCTTAACTATAAGTGCATGTGCATTGGTGATCTTGTTCTGTGGAGACATGTGCTGCTGCACGGCCTGCCGAGAGCCTCGCACTGTCACCAAGATGAAGGTGTAGGATAAAAATATAACAGTACAGGGAATAATGTAGCAGAAGAAGAAGAGACAGATGATGTAGCTCATTGCTGCAGAACTGTGGTTGGGAGCATGCCAGTTGATGCAGCACGCAGTCCCATAAGGTTCAGCCCCATACTCTCCCCAACCTGACAGTGGACCCACAGCAAACACTCCGGCGTAGCACCAGATGCCCGCGACAAGCAGGGAGGCATGGCAGTATGAGAATTTGTTACCTGTAATGGGAGATGGCAGATAAATCAGTGGCTATTAAAAACACAAAATGTGGTAAAAGTGTGAAAAAACATTTAGTCAAATGGTAGTTTGATATGGCAAATATATTTTTATCCCAACTAAAGTACATTTTTTTAAATTTGGAAAGGTTTTTCAGCACACATATGGCAGCACATATGTGGTGAATAATGGTATATGCAAATATGCGTTTACCTAATGTAGTTATGAACTTTAAGTGGATAATTAAAACTAACAATAATCACAGAGTAGTCCAGTCCTTTCAGTGTTTTTCCAATGTAGTTTGTTTGTAACGGTACTGTTTATTCAGCTTGCAAAGCTTCAGTAAAATAGAGAAATTCTAAGTCTGGCAGAACATAAGCCAAAAATGGGAAGGAATTTTCAACACAATTTTTATGAAGGTCTTTTTTTGCTGACGTGAAACCGCATGCTCAGGTTCTGCAGTGTCCACCTTAAGAGTTTGCTCCTAATTTTCCATCATGTTATATGAGAAGTTGTGCTGAACTTCTGGTGCAGCGCTCTTGCCTTAGTTTGAATAAGAAGCTCTGTAAGAAATACTGCAACAGCCCTCACCACATTCTGCTATAATTGATTTGGGCAAGGACTTTTACAGAGCACATTCAATGAGAAGGAGAACACGGACAGTATAATCTGGCACCACACAGCCTCTTCAGCAGGATGTCAACCCCTCTTACTCTTCAAGCTGAGGGTGGGGGAGGCGATTACACCCAGTGGCCCTCGCTGAGCTGTGTGGAGTTGTGGAAAGCCTTTACAGATGGATAGCTTTTATCTGTGGTGGAACATTACTCCAGAGAACAAAACTCCAACTATCCAAGTGACACGTCAAGGCTTCATCTCTTTTAAAACTGAACTGAACACCAGTTCAGGTGAAAATCCACACTCTTTTGGCCCAACATCTTCAGCAATGATGTCTCAAACTTTTTTATTCTTCTAATTGCAATATTGAAATACCAGCAAATTAAAATATTTACATATTGCTTAGTCTTTGTTTTCTGAGATTAACATTGTAATAAACATTTAGAAATATATTAGGAGAAACATTACCTTAGGGAGATGAAAGGAGTTCTGATGACAAACTCGGATAATAAATTATTAGTTATGATTAAACAAGAAGTTAGAATCATCCGGATTGTCATAGGATGAAAACATATTTGGACTGGATTTTTTACAATGAGTTTTTATTTTGTCCTTTTATTAATTTAGCCATTTTGACAGTATGCTCAGAAAAATGTGAAATGGACACATAAAATTTAGTGGAAGGCTGTAGTTTTTATTAGTATTTTTCCGTCTAAAGATCCAGCAGTGATGTCCTTTTATCTTCACATATTAACATATCAACTCCAAAATCAGCAAGATGGCAAATCAAAATTACCACTACAAAAAAGATAGCAACAAATAAGTAGATATGAATGAAAGAAATTTAAATAATAAAGTAAATATAAAATTATAAAAGTTAAGTATCAAAGGAAGTTAATTCAATTTAAATGACATCTTCCATGTTTGTCTTAATTAAATAAATACTTGATATATATATATATATATATATATATATATATATATATATATATATGTATATATATATATATATATATATATATATATATATATATATATATATATATATATATATATATATATATATATATACATATATATATATATATATATATATATATATATATATATATATATATATTACACTCAAATGCATTTAAAAGAGCATATATTTGCATGTATTAAAGCTTTATTTTCTGTTAAAGCATGTGTTTTTTTGTTTTGTCATGAAGTTAGTTTACTTCAAAATTACCCTGAATGAGATGTGTTATAAATGTTTAACTAAACTTAACTTAGAGGCAACAGGATGGCACGGGGTTCCTTGGCCTGAAGTCTAATAAAAGTGGAATAATTTGAACTCATTTGCACTTCAGACTCTATTTATAAGCCTCGCTGTCTCTTGTGTTTTACACACTTTATTATAGACAATGTTGACTTGCAACTAAACAAGAGGAGCTCTTTGAAAACACACACTTCAATTATAGTGAGCAAAAGTTAAACTTGATTGAGGGCAGAAAGCATATTTCACTCCATTGTAATTATGTGGGGTTGCATAAAGATGAGGTGAAATTGATTCTGTTTTGACAACAAATTGTCCGCAATATGAGATCTAAAAACATACATTCTGTTGCATTATTGCAGTTCGATCTGCTTCTCTAGATTTTTGTGTCTTCTCTAATCAAAGCAGGTTTTTGCTGCAGAAGTGTCTGTCAAGCATTGGTAATGCAAACTGATAAATTATGTTCAGAATCTTCGTCTTCTGCAAACCCCTGTGGGGCAAATAGACCAGCAAAAATGTGTGAGGGATATGAACAGAAACATCTCTGTCTCAGTTAGTTGTAATGTTTTGGGTGAAGGACCAACACCATAAAGCCACTGAAATACAGACATATAGAGATTGACTTGGATTGCTCTGATTGAGTTTAGCTTTCTGGGATATCAAAATATTAGCTTCATCAAAAGGTAATCAAAAGACCACACAGCAATCAAATTATTCCCCATATTCCCAAGGAAGACAGAGCACATTGCCCCAGTTTTAAAGTCCCTACACCGACTCCCTGTAACTCAGAGAATAAACTTTCAAATACTGTCGTTAGTTTATAAATCACTGAATGGCTTAGCACCACAATACATTAAAGATCTGCTGTTGTTGTCTCAACCTTCCAGACCTTTCAGGTCTTTTGGTTCTGCTCTGCTTTGCATCCACAGAAACAAACATGTAGAAGCAGCATTCAGGTTCTATCCACCTCAAATCTGGTTCAACCTTCCAAGAAACTGCAAAACAGCTGAAGCGCCTTTAAATCTAGACTAAAAACTCACTTGTTTAGAGTTTGTTTTGAGACGTAATAAATGAAACATTGACCGGCATATCTGATGATGGCACTTGACAAAATGTAAAATGTTCACTGGTTTTCTCAATCGTTGATTGTTGGTGTCTTTTATGACTTTATATTATTGCGTCTTTGTGATGTAAAGCACTTTAAACTGCCTTGTTGCTGAAATCGATCAATTAATCAATCAGTCAGTTGATTGATTCATATGACTAACCCATTCTTAGTAAACAGATGAGCATTTAGGTTTGCTGTATTGAAACGTTTAACTGAGAAACCTACTCAAAGTCAAAAAGCCTTAATAAATTGCAGATTTATATCTAGTCTATTTTTATTGTTTAAAAATTGTTGCTCATCAATAGTATGAACTTTAAACACAGGGGTTATGTGTAGGAAGAGTTGCAGACAGGTATCGCACCTCATCACTGAACCACCACTGGTTAAAGCCACTAAACATATTGGCCCCTCAAACTATGATCGAGATTAATGTTTTTGAAACATTAATAAAAAAGAAGACTAATGTACCTATACTTTGTTTTTCTTCCTTATTGACCCTTCAGTAGTGAATAGGAGGAAATGACCAGGTGTGGTACAGACACATAGAGAACAACAGACTGTTTTAACTTTAGCCAGCCTCCATCACTTTGGTGTAAGAGAAAAAAATACCATGACTTTCACCTGAGAAACATGAATCGAGCTGGTTTATCTAAAGAAATAATAAACTTTATTGAAAGGTGATTAGTCTTTTCCTGAGTTTTGGTGCAGGTTAACCAATCAGATGATTTTTTTTAGTTTTTTAGTTTTTTGAGACAGCAGCAAGAAATAAAAATAAAAAAAACTGACATTTATATGTACAATTTAAATTTTAATTAGATTCCCCAATTTAACAACTATATTGAATAATAAATTAGGAACTTCTATTTAATTGTGTGCATCTAAGATTTTTCTGCCCTGGTTCAAAGTAAAGCTGGCCTGTTGAAATGTGATGATATAATTTATCTGGTCACAGCACAGCCTGTCCCAAAAAAGCTCTGCCCTGCTGCAAAAAGTGCAAGGTGTTATTATGTGCCCCCGGATATGTAGGTGCGTGGCTTAAGTAGCATGGAGTCAGCTATTAAACACTGCATGTTAGACTCGACGCCAGGACTCGGTTACATAAGCAGAAAAAGAGCTGCTGCCACTCAGTTTGCCTGGCAGATTTTTGGGATCCCAGCAGGAATATAAAAAAGGGACAGAATAACAGACAAGCTGTGAGAATTTTTAAGTATCAAAGTTTAACAATTTATGAGCATCACCAGAATAACACAACTGGCTTATCTGGTGTGATAAGCAGACACTAAAGCTGGAACATTTAGTGGTTAGAACTGGACCTGTTCATTTTACTGAACAGATATTTTAAATAGCAAAGACTGAGATTAATGAGTCTTTTATTTGTGTGTGTGTGTGAAAAGATAATTTCGCATTTTCTATGCTTTATAGCATTAAGACAGGAATTGACCATCATTATCTCACTTACTCCTATTAGGACATGCAAATATTGTGATATTAAGAATTTATCAGCTGCTACCTAACAAATTTTAATTTAATATGGGCTTCAAACAATAACAATAATATATTTTGAAATATTGGTGAACATTATTATGTACTATTTAGGGGTGCAATCACACAACTCAATGTAATTGGTGTATTGAAGTATTGCGTTTAATAATGGATGAGTTGCTTTTATTTAGCAATAACTTTTATTGTGTGGCTTATACTGTTGGCTCTGACAGATGTATTTACACAAATATTAACAATTTTTTATGAACTGTTTTTATTGTCATGTTGTTACTTCTACAACAAAAGATGATGATGCCATAGAATTGAATATCAACCAAAGAAACAACACATGGACTAGTCAAGCCTGGAATTAGTTATTCATCACTGATTAATTAATTGTGTAAAACATGTTTTTGAAAATAAAAATAAGTTGGATTCATACTTTTTACCAAATGTTACTTTAATCCAGCATGGCTATATTTTTAGACCTTTTCTGTTAAATTGACCTTACTTACATGCTGACTGACTTGTACTAGAGCCACATTCACATTTATACATCAATGCACAGAGCAGTTGGCATCTTGGGGCTAAGTGCCTTGGCCAGGGACACATAGATGTGATGGGAGGAAAAACCTACAACCTTTCAGTTGCAAGACAACTTTATTCTGACACAGTGACCCCAAGCACAATAAAAAATATCCTCCAAGTTTAGATGGAGTTTTGGATTCTTGTGCATGAACTGGACTTTATTATTAACAAACCTAGCTCATAAAAATCCACTCTACATTATCACAGACATTTTACAGAATGTTAGAAACTCTTACTGAAAGCTCTTTGACAGAAAGGAAAACCAGACCTTTTAGCTATATTAGATTAGAGAGAAGGGAATTATAAAGCAGAATGATAGAAATTTGGCCAATACAATGACAAGAGGCTGAGACAGAGATGTGGTTTTATTCAATTACTTTTAAACTAAGTTATGGCTAGAGACAATCTAGCTGGATCTTATTCAGGATCAAATATTCCTGCCAAATTCCTGTCATTCACAAAAGTATAAATGATAGTGTTTAAATAAATGTAATTTGTTTACATACTTCATATACTTTAGTAAGTGAAATTAGATTATACACAGTTTAGGTTAGATGATGATCCATGTTTCAAGTGTCCATCATGATTAGTGAATAAAGGCTTGCAGCTAAGTAGCGCAGTAACAAACTATCACAGCTCCTCAAATAAACCTGAAATGCTGGTGGAAAGGTTTAACGAGCAATTCTGAAAAAAGCTGATGACTAATAAAAAATTACTCTAATTGAGTCTGACATAGAAACATGGATGGCCTTTGGAAGTGTCCTTGGAAGTTCATACAGAGTATTGCGAAAATATCTCAACTGTTCGAGCTGCTGTTCGAGCTGCTGAAAGATTTGGCTCAGAAAGATGTAATCATGCAAATAAAAGCTGAATTATTAGAGGGGCAAACTGATGAATTGAGCATTTGGAAAATCCACTACTTAGATTATTTACTTTCACACCATGTCTATGAAAACTACAAATCTGGATTTATTCCAACAATGAAAATGTTATTATAGGAATCTTACATTCTGAATCTTTTTTGCATAAAAGATAAAGTTACAGCAGAAACCCAAAGAAACAACAAGCCCTTTCAGGTCAAAAGGCAAAGTCTCTTAGGTCATGCAAATATAAGAATATTTTATGCAAACAATTAACACTGTGCCCTTTGCTGTCTAGAAAACAATGTAAATTTATGCAACAAACTTTCTATATGTATTTTTTTTTTTCACTGAAGTTATTGCCTCTGTTGGTTCACACCAGAAATGTCATGGGTTCAAAATCCAGTCAGATCAGCGTCTCCCATCATAAATTTTGCATTCTGTTCCATGCTGTTTGTGCCAGCTTAAAGAAACTGAATATCTAATAATAAAACATTACATTGTCAATAAGTTAACTTATTTTATTCTAAATGTTTTAGTTAAAATTAAACTTACATACACTTGTAATGCACAATGTTCATGTTCTCGCTTGTGAAATAAACAGATATATGCAACTATCAAAAAGGATGTTGAATATCGAAACGCTATGGGTCACACAATAGGGGAAGCTGCTGACTTGGCAGCTATCTTGCAGTCATCAACACCGTGGAACAGGGGGAAAAGCTGCAAAGAACATTGGAAACAAAGGTGTTCACAGAATGCTCCATCTCGCCAACTTAATGGAAAGCTGACTGGACATAAAATTACAGTGTTACTGTGCTCGAAACACGCCTCACCTAAACCCCAAACAGAGATTGTAAAGTCTAAGTATTGAAGGAAGATTAAAACAGAAAACCCAAGAAAGCAAATGAGCTGATAATTTTATTTGTTCTATTCGATCATTTCCATCTTTAAAATAAACTGGTGATCACACTTTATATTGTGTTTCTGCAATTATGGTTGTTTTCACATGGAATAATAATAATAAACAGTATAAAAAAATGCTTTGATTACCATAGTTTGGACAGCAGACCTTGAGCCAACAAACACAAGAGAGCACCGTGAGATTGGACAGGCTGCACAGGCCAAACAAAACACCACAAAAGGCATAGACAGTGCAGGTTGTTAGGTTAAATAACCACCTGAAAAGAAACACAAGCAGAAAAGAGCATATGTGGTTAAACAAATACTTATGTGCAAACTCTCTCTTTAAACATTAATAGACAACAAGACAAAGGCAATAAATTTAATGCCATTCTACTGGTCACAAGTGACGGCAGGCAGACAGCGACACACTTTGATCAGTTGTTTACTTTTTTTTAATCCTTACCAGTTCATTTCTTTGTATTAGTTTATTTATTTTTGCGTTTTGCTTTGAATTTTGTCCTCTGACAAAAGTTTGTCTTTTCCCATGATTTTTACTTCTGTGGTCCTAGTTCAAGTTCTCTGGTATATAATAACCTTACTTCAGCTGGCCTTCTTTCTCCCCTTCAAAACAAGTCCTTGTCACCTGGCTCTCACCGCCTGCACTCTCCTTCAGCTTTTTTTCCCTTTTGCCTCTACAGTAATTAGTTATTCTGGTGCGTGGCAACCTGTCCAGGGTATGCCTGCCCAATGACCGATGGAGATAGGCACCCGCCCCCCGAGACCCAGCAAGGATAAGCACATAAAGATAATGGATGGAGAGTTCTTCTGTGTGGTTATTCACGTTCACCTCTTCCTCTGTATTTTACCTCATCAGTTTACATTGTTCTTTGTTGTTTCTTTCCATTTCCTAAGCCTGTTCTTTCATGCTTTTTTCTTTTCCTTCTTTTTGTGTTCCGGTAGAAAATCAATCGCAAATACACACAATCGCTGGTTTTGAAATAAGTGAAACAAAGTAGGGTTCCCGAATCCCAGAGCTTGAAATTTGTATACTCTTCTAAAAAGCTTGGTTGGCTCTAGGAAGCTGATCTATTTAAACAAATACTGTTTCTGATGTGAAAATGATTGATTATTAAGAAATAATGTATCCTTATAAATCCAAAATAATGACATTCATTTTTATAATAAGAACATGCAAATTTCTTAACTCCAGCCTGATTTAATATTCCTGGTTAGCACCTCAAAAGTCACTCACATGTGAGCATAGGCGGAGGGAATGGCTAGTGGAAACAGAGTAATAGTCATGGTCAAGTCACTGATGGCCAGATTGACGACAAAGAACTCTGCTGGCTTCAGAGAGGATTTCTTTCTATAGGCCACAAACAGCAGGATCCCATTCCCCAGTATGGACAACACACCTGAAAGACACAGAGGCAAAACAACAGGGAAAATAGCATTTTTACCTTCATTATGTTGATTAAAAAGTGAGGAGTCTAATCAAGTTACCAAATATGGTGTAGAGTGTTCCCATGATGATGTCATTGTCTTTTGATATTCTGGACACGAAGTGAAAAATTTCGGAGGCATTTCCCATCTTGAGTGAAAGAAACGAGAAACAGAATAGAAGAAATTACAGAAAATAAAAATCTACAACAGTATTAAGTCTAATGATTTCTGATAACTAAGCTGATTTGTTTGCCACAACTAACATGCAGCCATTAAAAAAATGTTTGAATGCATCAAAATGTTTCCAAGTAAATATATTTCCAATATTTATATCAATATGAAAATAACACTAGATGTGAATGACAATCCAAGTAATCTAAAAAAAAAAAACAAATAAATCCAAACATGACTAAAATACTAAATTCTGTCATTTGTGCTGCTATGTGCTAAACAATATAAGCTAATTTAGTATTAACTTCTCCATATCCAAGAGGTATGATAAATACAGGGGAAAATACCGTCATAAAATATTTTAATGTTGCAAAGCATAGTAATGACATTGATTGTATATACATTTATAAACTTCTGAAAGATCATCATTTGTCCATGAACCAATCCAACAAGAAACTTTTTTGTGAGATTTTTGAGAAAAGCCAAAAGAATCATCAAAGTAATTTGTTCAAGAGCCAAGAAGCAAATTTTAAGCAGCTTCAGAATAACCTGGACACAGCCGCTATACCTTTACCCATGAAAAATAGGAAACAATGCACTCAACCATAATGGCCTCCATGCACACTCAATAGTAAATGTTGTAGAAAAAGGCTATTGATGCTTTCTGGATGGTAGCTGAATAACCCAGTGAAATAATGTGAGAATAAAGTCTTGTCAGATGAGTCCAAAGATGAACTTATTGCAATCGCCATGCTTGGAGGAAGACATTATCCCTAAAGCACCATGGCACAAGCAAAGTTTTCAGGTTGGAATATGGTATGGCTTGTCCTGCATACAAGATATGGAACTGGCAAACTTCATACTTAGAGAGAAAACGACAATCTTTAAAGTGTTTCCAGTTTTATAGTTTACAGTCACACCAATCAATAGATCTTGTGACAGATCTCACTTGGTTATACTTAACATTGGACTCTTCTCAGATCCATTTTTGTTTTTATCATCTTGACAAGTCATTGTCCCACCAAACTTAAAAGAGGGGGACAAAATGAAACGCCATCCTTCACTTCAACATCAGTGTCAGCTCAGAAACCTGTGAGGGATTTGCATACCCAGCATGACCTGCTACATGACCCACTGCTAATACAAAATTTATTGTGTAAAACACAAGGTGCCGAGGCAATCTTCCTTAAAAAAATGGAGAAAATGTATTCATAGCCTTTCTATTTACCCAATGATTTTACCTATATTTACATATTGAAGGAAGAGAGACAATCACCTGGGTGTTAAACAGGAGCTGCTTGTGGATAAGTCAGAATCTCCACACAGATTGTGTCTAATCTTCAAACATAACAAGAGTTAGTGTGGAGGTTCAATTATGACTTTATGTGGCTTTTATGTAGCTCTGAAACAGACACAAATGGGTTTATGTAAAAAAAAAACATATATGGCCTGTATCCTGTTTGGGGCTTTATTGTCATGACTGCATATGTTTTCCTCTGAACTACAGCTGACTGTGAGCCTCTGTAATACTCTGGGCCATCCTGGCACCACTCTTCAAATATCACAAAAAGCGTCTTGTGATGTTATCATACATCTGCCTTTTAGGTTTTTAATGTGTCTCCTCTGATGTTTGGGGAGGTCTGGTGACTATAAAGAAAACAAATGGGACGTGATGGGACTTTACGAAGTCAAGAAAGAAGTTCACCAACACACGTCTACAGAGATAAGTTTCAGATGTGGACATTGACATAATTTATTTTTGTGATAAAATGAACAGCATCCAAAAATATTAAAAATGTGGGAACATTATCAGCATGTAGAAAATTTGCCTTATGAATTTTATTACATGCGAAAAGTTGGCAGTGAAGTAAATACTTAAAAGTTAATATGCAGGAACATCAGCATGGAAATTACTTTAAAATGATTCATAAACTATACTTTCAGTCAAACTGAGTTTTAGTGAAGGTATTAACAAATTCACAATACTTTTGTGAGTCATCAAGAAATCTAGAAAAGCTGCAACACAGGAAACACCCATATAACATATGATTATTTTAATAACTTATTTCACTAAGTACAACACATAGAGCTGTCTAAAGGCACACCAAAATCATAGAAGAGAAATCCCATTCCCATTAACTCTACCCTAACCTCCCATTTAGTTCAATTATTGCTGCAACATTTATTTATCATTCAGATTCTGTGACGCTGAAGCATTTGTGCTGCATAGGTTATCTTAATGAGGAGCTCTTATTTCAATGGAGTTTTTCAACAAAGAAATTTGTAGCAACCATAGCTTAGTGGGTTATAATATTTAATGCGCTAGAGCTCCTATTGTGTGCGATGGTCACACATTACGGCGTCATTTAAAGATACAACTGGTTGTAAAAATGCAAACATTGTAAAAATGCAAACATCCCAGTGTTAACAAATATTTTGACAAGTCTTTTGACAAAGCATCAAGATTAAGGAGGCTATTCTTTAAAATTTACTCAGACAATAACAATAATAACAGAATTGCACATGCATTTCTGTAAAATATGGCAAAAATTGTGATTATAATTCACTCAGTCTTTTTTTATATTCTTTGAAGTGCTGTTCAGAATTTGTAATACTGTCTTTTCTGCTTCCACTTAATGGGGCTGATCAATCTTTAAATTATGACACGCTCCACTGGAGAAAGATGCATTATTACTATTGAAAAAAAGCAAAGCAGTCAGCTAGCTACAAAAATACAGTTGAAATAAATCTGTTGTGTGAAAGGAATAGTTTGCATTTCTACTCTGCTGTCATGAAGCCTTGACTCCACACTACTTAAAAATCCTTAGCAGTAAATCCATATAAAATGCAATTACTTCATTCCATTGCCGTTCAGTGGAACATCCTCAGTCTTCAGCATGTTTTTTGCAGCTGCTGTCAATCACAATAGCGTCTTCGTAGGAGATGCTTGTAATTTCAACCAATCCATCATTTTAATCAAAGGGGATTAATGCTTACCACAAACAGGAAAAGAAACCAACAAAAGAAAAACTGATTTGTGCAAAATTGTATTCTAAGATGATCTGTAACTACAAATTCAAAACTCTGCAAGTTATCAATTGCGTATTTATGTGGTTCCTAAAAAGGTTGTTCCCAGTTTTACCTGAGCAAAACAGACTAAACTCAGTTCTGTGAAAATCCAGCAGCTCATATGCGGAAGAATAAGCCAACTTTGCAATGAACACTGACCTGTAAGCTTTTGCTTTCACACTGATGCTTATAAAAAAATTAAGCCAATATTTTTTTTTCTCTATGCCATTTAACTTTTTCTTTTGAAAGTAGGGGTGATTAACACAATTCACACATATATGCCAAAGAAGAAATATTGTTCTTTTTATTCCATGACAGGAGAAGCAGTGGCGGCGGCCAGAGTGCACAGTAATGACATTTAGCATACATACATACATACATACATACATACATACATACATACATACATACATACATACATACATACATACATACATACATACATACATACATACATACATACATACATACATACATACATACATACATACATACATACATACATATATATAATGATAATCTTTACTGCCTCCTCACTGTTAGACTGAGAAATATATTGATATTCTGTGATCAACACGACTTGTTTCACTACCAACACCAAAATGAGAAATTTTATGATCATCACAGATTTTCAGGGTCCCAAACCAAAAAACAAATATTTACAGCCCCACCCTGGTCTTTATATTCAACTAGTGCTGTCAACTGATTAAAACCAAATAATCAGATTAATCACATTTAGGCTGGGGGGCTTTTCTGCATTGAGCTAGCATGCATGGATTCTCTTTGGGTACTCTGGCTTCCTCCCACTCTCCAATAACATGAATGTCAGAGTAATTGGTCCGCCTACATCGCCCTAAGGAATGAGTTTGTGTGCATAGTTGCTTGTCTAAGTTTTCTCCTGCCATAATTATTCACTGACGTCCATCAAAAATCTCTACCTCCATGCCGATGACCCTGTAAGGATTTTTGTCAGTGTGGAAAAGGGATGGATGGCTACCAACATCATATAAGCAGAGACGTGTTTATTCTTTTATTTACTCCTTAACCGACAGCAATATACTCTTCTGCTCTCACTTTGTTAGTTTGATACAGAAAACATTTTGAAACTATGACTTTAAATACTTTATCTGCCATCTTGTGTGATTGTTGACCACATCCCCTAATGCACCCTCGTCCTCCCTCTGCAGTGTCACCGGTGCAAAGGGCATGGCTGAATTAACAGTTTGAGAGGATGAAATCTAGAGAGAGACACTTTAAATAAGTGTGAGGTGGAGCAGTGAGGCAGGGCTCAAGAGAAGAGAAGAACCTATGCTCATGCTGATTTGTTCAAGAGGAGAAAAGTGGCACAAAGAGAGGCTGAAAGTCATAAAGTGCCTGTCAACCCGGTGCTGAATTGTAGAATTGAGGGTAATCATCGGAGAGGACACCAGTGACAACTTAAGCCTTGCTGTCATATGAATGGAACCTAGGGCAAGGGGCAATATTGCAGAGAGGAGTTGAGGGAGATAGAGATGTTGTAAAAATCATTTGAGGCTGTAACAAATAGGAGAAGACTAGAGAGGGATGAGACAAATCCCATAACTGAAACTGTCAGAAGCATAGAATTGAAGGCAGAATGATGGAGATTACCCGCAAGGAAAATGGGACAGAGGAACAATAAAGTAGAACTGAAAGCATCCAACCAGTGCATACAGATGAGTGAACATCCTAAGGACAGCAAAGCCAAAGTGAAAATCAAAAACAAGGGTGATTTTTCCACTGAATATATTTGGAAAACAGCAATATTTCAAGATCCCCAGGGCATGAGTTTACAACCACATTTCAATTTACAGATCCCCAGTTCAAACATAGCAGTTGGCAAGTTGGCAAAAACAGCTAGGTTGAGTAAAACAATGTCGGAGCTGTATCCTGTTTTTTCACAAGAATTATCTTCACAGCATGCTTTGTTCATTAAATTGGGTCGTGATTAGATTATGTATTTTAAGCTCAAAGCACTCAAAGAAAAATCTCAATTCAAGTTCTTTACAAAATGTAGTTAATGGGCGAAAAGCTCTCCTTGACATCAAGGTGATGACAGAAAAGTCGCTCTGCAAACAGGTAACTTCAATATTATGTGAACATCAGAAAGTGAGCTTATTTTTCCTGCAAAGAGTTATCATTTCAGCTACAAATTTAAACATCCAGATATTTTTTTTTCACAAGTACATGGTTTTTATCAAATATATCAATCTCTACATAGATATATTGAAAAACTAAACATAAGTGAAGGAATTGATTTAATAATCGAAGGGATTCTTAGTATCACCACTCTGGTTTAACTTACACCTGGATGTGTCAGCATGGTAGAAAATGCTGACAGATCTTAACTGATCAATTATCTGAGAAAGATGTTAAGAACAGCAGAGCATGAACAGCTTTCACTGTTGTTCCCCACTAGATCTTTTTGAGAGATGCCTCTGCACAATTGATGGTTGTGTATCTAAAGCACAGATTGATTTTATGAAGTTTCTCACTCTTAGGTTTTAAGGATTAAAATCTCTGAAACTTTCTTTGTTCCTTGTCTCTGATATCGAGTCTCTAAAGCTAACCCTCTGTGTTCAGCATCACTATGCACACTCCTTGATTCACTTCCAATTCACTTTTGATTTTCGTTGTTGAATTTTGTGAAGTGTGATCTCTCTCAAAGGAAGTTTTGATATGTCAAACCTCGGCAAGGACTGGATAAGTGCATTCAATCTTTGCTTAGGCAGTTCATAAATCATTGTACATTATGAACTTTTTTTCTTGTGACTCCAAAAAATTCCTATGAGCTGCTAAAGTGATCGAGAACTGCCCTAAAATGACATGAAATGAAAGCATTTATCAACTGAAGCAGCACAGCAAAATTCAGGATGCAACTCCAAATTACATTGTTCTCCTTCAGTTCAGTGACAATGAATGAAAGTTATTTTCAATTCACACCCCTTTTTTTTATTATTAAAATTAAACTTCTCTTGATTTATTGATTTAAATATCACTATACTTGCTATCCATTACTGCTGTTCAGAAGTTATATTCAATACTAATAACTGTGTGACTAAATGCAGATCATTCCTTGCAGTCATTTTTCATTCAGCTGTCATATGTCATCTTCAATTTAAAATCCTAATTTATCATTGTGTGCCTGCTTTTATGTGATTTTCATCATCGTTATTCTTCAGAAGCAATCTCTCAATTTGCAGTCAGCACATCACATAAGCTGTTAAGTTAGCAGATGCATATTTGAAGAGTGTGTGTTGTCTGGAGGAACGATATACGAGTTGTAATTTTCATTCAAATTACATAGCATTTCAACCTTTAACCACTTTTTAACCACTGAGCTATGACAACATATTTATTCATACTTTTTGCCTTCTCTGTATGATTAGAGGACAGTCAAGCAGGTTATCTGCAACTAAGGCATACATAGAACTGAATCTGTCTTCCGGCAAAAGGTGCAACAGTTCCTGCACAAAAGTTCACAAAGGCAAAAATTCCAAATATGAAGTTGTCAAAAACAACTGACCTAGAGAGGTAGAATCACAGCCTAATGATAGTTTTAAAGATAATTGTGTGTGAACCTTAAATAATTAAATGTAATCACCTAAATTTGGCCTGTAATCATAAACCTGGTGTGAGCCCCCATCCCCTGCACCCATGTGATTTTTGATTATGACGTTGAGTCCGCTGCACACATAATCAGCTGAAAGAAGAAACAATAACAAGTTCTGAGCAATTACTAATCTATCTGCAGCAGATAACTTTCTACCAATCTTCATTTTGTATGAATCCAAGTTAGTTATTCCTGAAAGCTAAAAATAATAACTAGTTCATAAGGGGCAAGGGCTATAGCATCTTTCTACCATCTTCAAAAGATATTTTAAGAGCCAATAAAGTGTTGTCAGGTTTACATTGGGAGATATATTTACCCAGAATTGCTGATTATTTTCATGAGAAATGGAGGCAGGAGAATCAACATTGAATTTCTTGTGTGAAACTTCTTTAGAACACACAACCATTTGCAACCACAAAAGTTTAAAAGTATAAAATCTGTCAAACTATCCTATAATAGTTTTGTTTTTTACACCACTCTCCTTTAATATCAAATACTTATTTGATGCTGAATGCATGGTTGTTATATACTGATTAACTATGTGACTCGGTTGCAGAAAAGACTACTGATTTATCTTAAGTAATTCCAGTAATTGCAATCAGCAGTTTTCTGTAGAAGAGAGTCATGGGGGTTGATTTGGCTCAAGTTTTGCAGGCAAGTGTGTGGATACAAGTTTTATTTGTTTCATGAAGTGTTGTGGCTCTGGAGTGTTGCATGCTCTGGGTGAAAAGACTGGCACTGGAATCCTGTTGGCAGCATTTATTCAGGTGGGTCAATAATGATGTAGACCAGGGAAAAAAGACCTGTTTTGGGAGTTGAGCATTTTCTTCACTTGTTCTTTTTCTTGCAGGAAAACCAGATGAGTTACAGCAGCTCCTCTGCCAAAGGTAACTTTTCAGGTAGATATTCTGGAGATGATGGGGTTCCATGAAGCAGATGTTGAACAATGAGGTACCTCAATGTGAGTCCCAAAACATCTAGCTTTGCACAGGAGTTGATTCATTAGTTAAATTTAAACAGGGACAGAAAGTGAAAAAGGCTTGCATGCCCTCACCAATAAAACAGTAAGACACTGGGTGAGGAGGTCCGAATCCAACCGGTAATAAATCAATCAGTCAAGGGTGTGACTGCTGACAGCAGGTTAACCCGATCCAAAGAGGAGATTTATTTCCTCAGGAGAAGGAAGAAGAGAGAGAAGAAAGAACAAAAACAAAATCCCACACAGTCAAGGATCATGATCGTGTTTCGTATAGGAAACACGATCGTACGGGAAAATTAGCGGCGGTGCATCAACTCCTTCCTCCATTGCTTGTGTAATCATTGCCGGTGTAACTCTGATCAGGGCTTTAAAATGGTGTTTACAGCTTTGAGATAGGCTATTTTACATCAAAGGACACGACTTTGTTCCATCTACTCTAACCATTAGCTTCAGCCTCTAAGGCCAAATAATATGGCTTTATGCTAAATGAAAACAACATTAGAATCACCCACTGAAGGTAAGATATTACTTGCTGTCAGGTAATATCAACAGAAATGCAGTTAAAAAGCTATTCATGTAAGCTCAAGTGATGCATTCTTGACATCATTTAAAAAAAACATAACATAATATTAATTTTAAGGCAAAAAAGAATAAAATTGTGGTATAATAATATGCATTCACTTTAGTAAAAAATGGATTTGCATTCTCTGTCATGATCATTTCTTGCACAGTTTTAATTTGGTCTGTGAGTCATGAAAAGATTGTAGGTCATGTTCTATCTAAAGGTCATGGAGTACTTCCATTCTGATCCTTTTCTTTCCAATAAAAATAGGATTTGTCAATAAGTAGGACAGGATTACACCATATTCTAGAGGTCGTGTTCATGGGTCAAAACTGCAAAGTTTTGAAGTCATCCTTCAATCTAGTCTGGGGAACGCAGACAGTGACCAGCGGGAAGACAGACAGAGAGACAGACTGAAAACCAGGCACAAATGAATCTTGCAGTGAACTTCAGAGGATCTAGTCTGCGGGGCACAACCACACTGTGAAGAGTCATTCACCTGTCTCTGCTCATGCATGTCATGAATAACTAAGAAATAATTTGTATGAAAATCCCTCTAAATGACATTGACAAAAGGCTTTTAGTTGGATTATTTGGTAAGTCATATTAATTCAAGAGCTATGCATTAACAGACTCATCACTCTTGATGCTCACACCTCATATACTCTAAATAGCCTTTTTTTGGGTCACCTGCTCAATTCTCAATACTAATAGCAAATCAGCCAGCCACATTGAAGCAACTACATGCACATATGCAATGTCAGACAGTCAAGATGACTTGAAGTTCAAACTGAGCATCAGAACTTCAGAAGTTATATGGATGATGGTATCAAGTGAGCTGATACTCCAAATAAGCTAAAATAGGGCAGATTGGTTTGAGATGTTAGAAAGTCAACAGCTTCTCAAATATCCACTTGTTACAAACAAATAATGCAGATTGCCATCTCTGAAGGACCTTACAGCACATAGTAACAATGACTGTCAGTCAGCTTTATAAACAACAATAAGTATAATTTAAACACTTCTACCTACCTGAGTGTTGTTGTTGACCATGTCCATTCCTTTATGACCACAGTGAAGCCATTTTCAGATGGCTGCTTCCAGCAGGATAACGTGACATGTCTCAACGTTCATTGAATTTCAAGCTGGTTTCCTGAACAGATAAATGAATTCACTGTTCTGCAATGGCCTCCAGAGTCCAACTGGGCACCTTTAGAAAGAGGTGAAACAGGGGATTCACATCATCACTTTAGAATAAAAGGTTTGATGCAGCTGCAGGATTATATCATGTCAACAGTACACAAAATATCTTAAGCATATTTTCAACAATTTCATGAATCTATGCTGATTCAGAGTTATGTTAGTTCAAAGGGCAAAGGGTTACAATACCTTACTAATAGGGTCTTGTAGAACTAGTTCTGCCTCTGCTTGGAAAAGGCAGAACTTAAGCCTTTTGCCTGATTACAGACTTTCATGTCTTGTTTGCAAGACCACCTATTTGTCTTTAGTCATCTTCATTGTCTTTATAAATGCCACGTTTCAGCCTCTGCACTGAAACGTAATTCTTAAACTGCTTTCATTGTTAATTAAGCTGAGAACAATCAGGACAAGACAGCACAGAGGCTAAATGAACTAATAAATACAAAACCCCACATCCTCACAATGTTGTTTCCCCAACAAAAATATATCTCCTGTAATAAAAAGGTATTCATCTTTTTGCTCCAAATAACTCATCGACTTGAAACACAGATGCACGTACATAGAATAAAAATACTTTTTTTTTTCTCACTTACTGAAATTAAACCAGGCTAAGTTTCTCTTGTTTAGGTCAGTTAGAGTAATGAAGACTATTTGAAAACTGTCACCACAATGAGGAAAAGAATATGTCTGAGATTAATGGACTAATGTCTTCAAGATCAGATGTTGCCTCACATAAAGATTAGCACAAGTTAAACAATGACATAAATGTGTTTTGGTCCAAAATGGGCAAATTAACCCCACAGCAAAACCCAAAGACCTCTTGAAAATGCTGGCTAAAGCTAGTAAAACTGTCTCACTATTCACAGTGAAGCATGTCTGATACTGACCTGGGCTAAAAACCACTCAGCGATGAGGGAATCAAATATCAATCAGAACTTTGGCAAACTATTGTGAGAAGCTTAGCCAATTATTAAAATTGAAAGCCAATGCTATCAAATACTGGAGAAATGTATGTCATTTGATTTTCAAGACATTGATTAAATAATCACTGACATTTCTGTCATTGTAGCATTTAATGAATAAAAAGAGAAGTTTGGACTTATTTATCTTGAAATTGTGAGAAAATATGTGTCTTTTTATTTAGTGTAGATAAACTTCTGGTTTCAACTGCAAATGCTGATGCATACATTCCTCCACTGTTCTTGAGAGATGTGCCTCAGATGTTATGCAAAAAGTGAGATAGGCACAGACTTGTTCAGAAAATTATTTAAAATCTGAAAGATGCCCTATGCTGGGACAACTTGAAAAACACAGCAGGGGAGTTAGACTCTCAAAATGTGAGTACGAAGGTTTTCATTACTTGCAGTGACAGTCGCAGTCGGTGGTGGGTTTTTTCACTCACCACAGAGCCAGAAAATTTCAGCGCTTGTGTTTTCAGTGTCTGTTGTATGTCACATTTCACTCTTGTTACAAATCACCTCTCACAAGGTCACTTCATCAACAACTTTCCCATTCCTCAGAATGCCTGCACTGCTGTTTTTTTATTTTCTTCCAGTCTTGGTGTCAGAGTAACTGCTTTTTGGATTTTTAGTGAACAAGTTGATGTAACAAAGTAAAATTGAAAACGTTTTTGAGAGTCATCTCATCTCTCCACTGCTCTGATGTTTTCAGATTTCATTTTCTTGTTCTTTCCTTAAGGCTTTCATTCAGCTAGTCCCCAGTTTCAGTCTACTTTATATTATATTGTTTTTAAATGCTTGTTTAGCACTTACCTCGTTGGATATCTGAACCTGGACGTCATATTGTTGTTGTGAAATCTAGCATATTAATCGGTGATTTTGAAAATTGGAATGATTGTTGTATCGTGATTTTTTCAATTGACAGATTTATTAAAATTAGCAGTTATTTATGAATTCAATATTAAATAATTTATAATGGGTAATGAAATGTTAACTTGAAAATGTATACATATGTTCAATCAATATTCATGATTAATACTAAAAAGTAAACATTTCAAAGGTAAATATTCATTTCAAATGTTGCATTTTAAAGTTAAAGAACTTAAGCCGACTTATTTTGTTCATTTAACTTTAATCACTTTGTAGCTTGATTCACAGTGGTTTGTTTAGTATCATTTTCACGGTGTGCTTAGTATTTTAATTTATGTAAACTTAAATAATATAGGTTAGTAATATTTATTTGTTCTTCATCCAGTTTATTAAAAAGTCTGTCGATGTATCCATCTCGTTTCAAGTGGGAAAATGAACTGATGATTCATTTAATCATCCACAGAAGTGATTTAAAATATATTTGAATCAGTTCTGTTGGAACAGAAACACATCTGAAACATGTAGGACACCAGATGCCCCAGGCTAATGATTACAGTCTTTGATAGGGTCTTGTTGAAGTTTAATAGGGTCTTGTTGAAGTTGAAGGTTTCAGGGATGACAGCAGGGGCAAAATCTTTAGTTGTGGTTGAGTCTACTGACTTCACTGGCGTAGCTACAATGTGCTTTTGTTTAAGACTCTTTGATGTCGAATGCTTTAAGGGTATTTGTTCTCTACCAGTGGAACATTGTACAGTTAAAAATTCCCCATTTATTTTGATAAAACAAGTTAAATATAGAAGTATAATATTCTGCTGATGGATTAGGCTGTGCTTAGAAAATGGAAGGCATTATCCACGGCTTTTCTACAGGGTTGTTGTTTCAAGGTGGGATCTCTGTAATTAATTACCTGCTGTTCTTTGGTTTTAAAACATTGCAACCACAAACTAAAATGGTTTTATTGCCATAGAATCATAGATTTTTCTTTCCAGATAGGAAGTCACTCACTTCAGCATTACGTTAGTAGTACCACATTTTCTGGTCTGTAAGTCGGAAAATATGACTTACAGTCCGGAAAAAAAGAAGAAAAATACATATGTAAGTCGCACCGGAGTATAAGTCGCATTCGTGAGGAAAATTTATTTGATAAAATCCAACACCAAGTACGGACATGTCATCTTGAAAGGCAATAAAAATAGAATAGTGGCAACAACAGGCTAAACAATTGTACGGTATGCTATCGTTACGCGACACATGAACAACGAACTGAGAACGTGCCTTGTATGTTAACATAACATATTAAGAGTCATTCAGATAATTATAGCATAAATAACATGCTAACAAGTTCACCAAACCATCTGTGTCACTCCAAATCAGTAAACGCAATGAAATCTTCATTTACTGTGAAAATAAAATGTAATATCATATAATGATGTGTTAATTTCCACACATAAGTCGCATCACCATCCAAACTATGAAAAAAACTGTGACTTATAGTCCGGAAAATACAATACATAGGGATACATATATTTTTTTTTCTTACAAAATACTGAATATAATCACATGGCTATAAAGATCACATCAGCCGCAGCACTGAAAGGATATATTTTTCTACACTATTGTCTTCTAAGATCCAACATTGCACATCTAAAATCCATCATGACAAGCTTCATCAAACCTCTCGCTGCCATATAATATTAACAGAACACTTCACATTTAGTGAGCAGAGGTATTTTTGACTCTGCAGTTTTCAGTGTTCATTAGTGAGACTTTTATTCCACAGTTTGGGTTATTATAGCATATATTCTTGTCCTCTTCTTGGTAGCCTGATGACCCAACATTAAAAGTAAAGTGGATGTCTTTTTCAGTAAAGCTTAGAGCTGGCTCAAACAATGAAACATCCTTTAATTGCGTTGCTATAGGTCCAGGCTCTTCGGGGAGTTTATTTTTTTCTATCATTTCATATTTATGTCATGATTGAATAGTGCTTTAAAAATACGTTAGAAGAATATGCACTACATAGTCTCTGTACTTTGAGATAATGACAAATGCGAAAAATTGCCTGGGTTTTCTGACTTTTCTGTCTTGCTGAGTCTTTACCTCAAGCAGCCTGGCTTAGAGGCTGCTAAGAAATATTTCTCCTCTCCTCAGTTAATCATGACATATTAAATGTTAAAAAGCTTTTGGTTCTTGTGTAAAAAATAGAAGTCTTAAGGTAGCAATTTGGTGAACTTACCCTTAAAAAATTAAATGTACTGATTAGACATGAGCAGCATATTTTATCCTATTTCTTGTCACTAATATAAACTGAATTATTTGTAATTAAATCAGATAACTTAGTAAAGGAGCAAATAAAATAGGTTACCTGAAGAACAGAAGAGTTTCTGATTCCTCCCTCAGCCTTATTGAAACCTAAATTATATGTAATTGTTGTAGCAGGGGAAAAATAAACCAGCTGTGCAACTTGTAGAAAGAATAAACACATTTCTCTAAATAAAGTCGCAGTTTTTTAAGATGACCTTTGGGCATCTCTCTATAATGTGGAAATGTTATAACCCACTGAAGTGATGACCAGATCTCTTTTGACAAACACGCATATGTGTTGCACAGAGTATATCTTTCTATTGTAACAGGGACATTGCACTGACTTCCATACATTTATCATTCATTTCTAAAGCCGAAGTGCTATTACAAAAAAGCATGAAGTTTAGACAGATTCACAAGTCTAAGCCTGACAATAAAAGACTTAGTAATTTAGGTGTTAAAATCCTCTTTTGACTGGATGTTCCACAGTTCTTATCTCCGAATCTCAGAAAACAAAACAAAAAAATAAAAATACACTTGGCGTCCCTGAAGTTCATCCACAACTGTTTGTTTCCATGAAACCCTTTTGGCCAAACTTGTTTAATAGGTGAAAAACAATTATTCAGTCAATTGTATTCAAAAATGGAAAAAATATATCATCCAAATATTTTCAAATAATTATTGTGGATGGTGATGCTGAGGGCAAAAAGGATCCTGTCAATTCTGCAATAAATCTGAAGACTCTTGCTCTATGAAAGTCTCATGAGTGCCATGATGTGCTACCAGCTCAATTTCCAGGTAACATGGGCAATATGATTGTTTTCCTTTATGAACAATGGAAGAGATTATTTTAAATCCATCCCTGTCTTTTTGCTCTTTG